TTTTCTCGAATATTTTTTACAACATTGTAGAGAATGAAAACTTGCATAAGATATGTAAAATGCAGATCAGAACTCTGATTATGAATTGTAGAGTGTGGGTGTGAATCTTCTCTTAGCCTATACTCTCACCCCACGCCCTCGAACGTTTGAGTTTTGTTGTGAGTGTCGTAGAGTGGGATCATGCTTAATTTTCTAATGGGAGCTCTTTTACATTCTTGTGTGCATATGTCAACATTGCATTATCGTATAATAGTTCTGTCTAAAACTAAATTTTATCAAATATTTTTTCATCTTCTGTGAATTTGAAGATAGATACTTAGCAAAAGGCGACTATTCAACACTTGTTACTACTGGAATAAAAACTCATGAAATAAACTCTAAAAAAATTTCGACGAATATATTAACAGGAAATGGGAATTTGTGCTTCATTGAACGATCCTTATTATAACGCTCACTTTCAGACAAGTGACTCTCAAACGTTTAGCATCAGTTTTTCTACTTTATTTGAACATGTTCGATTACTTCGTAAAGTAATTGCACATCCAGAAATGATACAGAGAGGAAAGTCCCTGGATCATGCCATCGAAGATTATTGTACGTACATGACTCGTTATTCTATTTCGGATGGCTCTAGTGCATCTTTCTTTTTACCCTGGGAAGTTCATTGGATTTGGCATGTTCACTGTCTACATCCTATTACATTTGATAAAGATCTCAACAGCGAAAGTTTCGATCAGAAATTCATCGATTTTCGATATCGTATGTTTGATATAACGCGACATTGTAGGTGTTACTCCAGGAATTACCAAAGAAGATTTGCTCCTTCTATCGATTTGGCAGATGCTGTTGTTCGTCAAGCTGACTTTCTTGAAAAGTTCAGGAAGCATCGTTTCTTTTCAATGGACTTACAAAAAATGAGTCGAAATTTGTTCGACCAAATGGTACAAAACTATATTTCGTTTATGAAATTAGCTAGTAAAGAACAGTTAATTGTACCAACATTTGACATAGACTTGATTTGGCATACTCATATGAGAAATGGATTAGGGTATGTCCAAGCTTCAAAATCTCTATGTGGTTTTGTTCTCGATCATGATGATTCTATCCAAAGGAACATTCTCGATGATGCTTACCAGAAAACAGTTGATCGATGGAAAATAGCCTATAACACAGAATATGGCAACAACATTGTCAGCACTAAATTGAACACATCACAAAACGTTAGTAATTGCGCCGTTGTATACCCAATGTCACAATATCATAATCCTCCATTTTCTAAAAGTAAACCAGTCAAAAGCAGTACTCGTGACAATCATGGAGGTCGGATTAATGGTGGTGTAGTAAATAACGGCAGTTACAATGCTAATAGTGGTGGTGGTGGTGGTGGTGGTGATAGAGGAGGATCATGTGATGGTGACGGTGACGGAGGATGCGGTGGAGGATGTGGCGGAGGATGTGGGGGAGGATAAGTTGACTTTGAATCTATTATTTCAATTAATATTTCGAATCAACAAATTATTATATTCTGACACAGAAAAGTGCACGAATATTACCACAAGAACTTAATTAGCTTTCGTATGTGTATATATACTGTTATAAAAGTACATTCAATAAAATGTTTATTTATTTTTCTGAAAAGTCATGGTGTAGGTAGCGAAGTAGGTCATATAAGTAGAGTAAGCGTTCGGATCGGACGCTACAGTAATTAGAAATGTCGGTTGAACATTAATGAAAGTTCGAAATCTTCCGAATAGTATTCAGTAGCTAATTGATTTTCTCATTTCAAATTAGAAGAGTGTGGGTTTGAGTGGCGAAGTCAAGACCCATGTCAACAAGCAGACCCACACTCACACCCTCTTTGAGTTATTTCTGATAATGATATGATCAATACAATTGAAACTAAGCAAATTCGTTTACTTTATATTGAACATGTGGACTGTAATGAAGATCATCGAATATGATAAGTTAGCTTGTCATCGTTCTATCAACGACCGAATACGTGCTATTAATTGATCATTCTTACAAGTAAGCATTGTCTCAAATTAACGAAAAAAATCTCACAAATCAAATAACAAAAACTTATAAATAAGTCACAGGATAACGCAAAAAAGAGGGATATCAAAAGATGGTTACCATATCTAATATTCATATCCTGTTAAGAGCTGATGCGAACCATGCATTTTGAATCGTTAGTTAATGAATATCTCTGTATATCATAATTTTTGTTGCCATGATCTCGATATTCGATTACCATCAAAAAAAAGATGTGGATATCATCTGTGCGCAATATCTACCATAAATATTCAATCAACTATTGGTTCTAATCTGAATATTTCACCGAAATATAAAGTACATGTAGTACTAAATGTTCGAATTGGAATGACGACACATATCTACAGCAAACATTGTCAAAGAAAAAAACGAAATCTACGAATACAGTCATATGCAACCACCTTTTATTGTCAAGATTTTAGATAAAAGGAAACACTATAACATATTCCAAGAAGAATATAATTTATAAATAAAATGATATTATTGAACCAATACAATGTACGATGGCAATAGGTCGTTGTTTTCGCTGGTTCCCAATATTGAATCTTTTGTCCAATCTCAAATGCCCACACAGTTCCACGAAGTATCAATAAAAATGTCACCGAACCAAACAAAAATAGCATACTTCTAAGAACAGTCGATTTTTTGTAAGATAAAGTAAAAGTAAGTAAGATGCATAGACCGATCATTGCACCTTCGGTAATCAAAAACAGAGGTAACTTTCGTTGTACCGAACACCGATCTATATATAGACTTCCCATAACAATCATTGATATGGGAACAGTTAATGCAAGACTTAATGTAAAAACACGAAGTCGACGAGGACATGAATCGTCTTTTTTTTGACTATTTTCTCCAGTTTCTAACATAGCAGCCTCAGCATCATTCATATCTAAAAATGCACACAAACAGTATTGATCAAGAGACAATTTACATATCTTTTAACATGCCTACATAGTCAAATCATTACAAACAAAGGATGTGACAAACTTTTCGATCATTGTTAAAATGAAGAATGGAATAACAATTCAGAAAAAAAATTGTGAAAAATGAATGACGTTGAGAGACGAAATTTGTCGAAAAATATCATAGTTGCAAAACATAGCGCTCTCGGCTGATTTAATATGCACTTTGCCATTCTACTATGACTCATGAAGGCACATATTCACGTATGATGCTGACAGGGAACATGAAGAACAACCAAAGACATTAAAGAAGATACAAATTCTCGTAGCTTCATATAATTGAAACTTACAGAGAAATCTCTATATGTTGAAAATTTGAAGTAACAGAAAAGAGATCATATCGACAACGTGTCCACATTAAGTTTCCTGTTCCCTCATCATATAGAACTTTCCAAAAGAATTTTTTACAGCTCCAAGAAATATTCGTATTTTAAATAAGCATTATGTTATCTATTAAACATCAGCTAACAATCATGCAAAAAATAAAAAATAAAAAACCATTGTGTAAAAAGTGTTCGAACATTGTTAACGTTATCTTGCCTAAGAGTTATTATTCTTATTCTTGTTATCATGCATGCATCTTTGTGCACTCTAACACAGCCAATTTTTCTCTTGAATATTATGAAAAATGATTGAAAGTCCATACTAGAGAATAAAAAAAGAATTTTGAACACTTTAGCACTGTCCCTCGCCACAGATGGACAGGGTGGATCGGGTGTGCCTTTAAGCTAAGAGAAGATTCATACCCACATCCACATCTTCAAATAAAATAATATTTATTCCTTTTTACGTAATTCTATTCTAAGAAAACACTCTGTTGCACAATTGAGAAATCGTGTCATACAAAAAATTTAGACATACCATTTGGATCATCAGAAATAAAAGAACATGTAAAAATCTGTAAGTCGAAATGTTTTCGGTCTCTCTTTGAACAATCTTTGAATAAATACAAAAGAAACGTTGTATATACCTCTATGAAGCTCTACAAGTATGGATCATGTTTCTTCCCCTTTTTTTGCTTAAATATCACACGATGTCATACACCTACATACTTTACAACTCAGTGGAACGTTGGTAATGAATTGAGTTAGCTTTGTGGCAGTCGAATGAATTCAACAGCACATGTTGCCTAGTAGTACGCGTATATTACAAATGTTTGTTTACTTAACAGGCTTCATCAACAAGGACTATTCGATATTCGTCCTACCTCTAGAAGTTATACGATATGTTTCGAAATCGAAAAACTTACTTTAGATTCTTGTTCAGTACACAAAACTGGATCGAATATAAGATTCAATGGCACCATTGTTTGGATAGTAATTCGTGAACACTGCAGGCTGTCGAGTTAGGATTCTTTTTTACCACTGAATAACTCTTTTTGAAAATATTCATCAGTTGAGAAATATGCGACACATTTTATTTTTTGAGACATAGGTCTTCATTTTGTTAGACTAATCTTTAGTAGGTTTTGATCAGGAAACAATTCATTTGAGTCAAAAATTATATCATATTCAAAATTAACATCAAAAAATGAATAAGCTTAATTATGGTATTCGATCGAAATTTCCGTACTGTTTTAGCGTTGCTTGCTACCTGAAGAAGATTCTATTGGAGCACCGATATTTTTCGGTGAAGTAGCCAGTATAGAACTACTCACTGTTGAGACTATGCAGAAGAGTGTTTCAAATCGTTGGAAAAAGAAATCGTAAACTAGCTAATTGTCTGGCAATAGAACAAAATAATGAAGATTCGTAAACATTCCTTTAGAAAATATTTCTTCTCTTCTGCAAATGTTCATTTCGATTTGTTTCAATCATCTGTTAGTCATTGGACGACAGATATCCTGATAGATGGACGACTTATGTCTGAGATTTCAATTATACATTTCTTATTATGAACATTGATCATATGCTATCACGGTAATTTGTCCACTAAAGTCTTAATAGAAATTCAAAAACATAGTACACGTGATGAACTTGAGTTAGAAAAGGTTTCAGTTTGATTTAAGAGCTGCTTGAACTATCTTGAAAAAAAACATCATGTTTCAGATTAGTTACAATATGACGATGATAGGTTCACTTTAATATCATAGAACTATTTTATTATACACATATGTAGAGATTCTTGACTTTATTAGTTCATGCTTCTATATAAGCTCTAATATACGAGGCTCGATTGAATATAGATCACGATATTATCACCTCACTTTGTTGATAATCTGTTTAATGAAATCCAATTTATCAGACCATTTGATATTGCCGTTAGAAATTGTGAACTCAAACATTCTATGAGAAATCTTTTTGTCTAGAATTTAATTAGTTATTTATATACAAAGTAAAGGGTCCATTTATATGCAGGTTTTCTTTTTTTATATGTAAATAAAAATTTTGTGCTATAATTGATCAAGGCGAATATCGAGAAGAAAATATACCTGTCTTACATATTATTAAGAATATATCACTAAAAGAATAATTGTCTAGACAACTTCGATAATAAAAAAAATGATCTGATTATATCAAGAAAATTCAATACAAATTCATCAATTCCATAATCCAGGAATATGATTTAAATCGCATTCGTAGTAACTTCAACGTTGGAAGGATAAATATCATAAATAAGACAAAAACTAGTATTCTGTGCTCACATACAGTCAAAAATTCATAAGGTAATAACCGGTTATTTGTCGAAAAATAAGTACAAAACATAAGAAACAATTTGATAAATTGATTTATTTATTGAAAATGATTAAAAAGAGTTTTGATCATGCGGTGATTCGAAATCAGTAATGAAAATATATTTCCTACTTAGCTAAATCAAGTGATTGACTTCCCATTTACTAATCCAGATGAAAATGTTTAGTGTTACTTGTTTCAGGTCGAGAATCACCATGATTGATTATCGATAGTCGTGTATGCATCATATTATCTTAGTGAATGCTCTTCTAGTAAAGGAGAAAAATTTCTTCAAATTACCTCTTCTATTATTTTCGGTTCTACTTTTCCACAATTTTGGACGAACGCAGAAAATTATGTAATTTATTTTTCTATCTCATCCATGTATTATGTGAGAAAACTATTACTGAGTCTGATCCAGGATAAATTATCTTGTCATTTACCATCTATAATCAGTTTTGTTGAAGAACACATTATTACATTAAAATGTCCATAAATGTTTGGATTTCATTTTAAGAATACTTCTCAAGTTTGCAATTGAAAGCACATTTAACGATGACGATGACTTAGACGATCGCTTCATGTTTCAAATAAATACAAGTAATGACAAAAATATATTAAACAGATTAACTATTTTCTTGATTTTTTATTTACATTTCCATTTTTGGTATGGATTATTTTTAGTTTCTTGTCAACTGGAAAAAAACTGACTAAAACATCTCTCTTATTCTATTAGAAATAACTTGTTATGATTGTTTCTCTGCAGCAAAACGAGAATGAAAAGAATCTTTTGATTATTTTGTGTTCTATGAAGCATACCAATGAACGAAATACGTGATCCAACAGAGGATATCCGTTGGTGAGGTTTCTTTATAAATAGAATATCCACTCGTCTGGTGATTCTACAACTATAAGAGATAAAGAGAGAGAAATAAAAATATTCTTACGGTTTTCTTTAATTAAACACATAGAATAGTGCAATAGATTCATCGATCCAAACACACTATCTACTAATCTAGTTACAAATCTATATGGAAATCTTTTCGCCAAATCTGAGTCAGATGTCTTATTGAATTAAAGAAGCTATCCATTTAAGGAGCAATGTAGCATGAGAGATTTAACTACAGTTAGTTTTCTGTCTAAAGCTATCTGCAGATAGCTTTAGACAGAAAGCGATGAATATCAATGTAAAACAAAAGCAAGAAAGGTTAGAATTTATGTGAAATTCGATAGTTTGGAAGAGTTACTCAATAGAGTATTTGATTGATCAAATTCATTTCTCTGGGTATTTTTAAAATCATGATTGGGTAGTAACTTGACAAGAACGAATACGCCTTTTCATCAATCCATAAAGCCATATAATGTTCCAGATGATGAATCGTAAGCCAATTGTAAGATCACCATTGAGACCAAGTACTGATGTAGCCACGTACAAGAAATTATTGCGTGTAAAATATTCAAAATTGCAATGTGTTGGTGTACATACAGCAAAATAATCTTCAAATGAACTTCTATTTGTCCATTTTTCGATAAAGAATTCGTCCAAGAGTGTACCGATCGAAGTGTTCTTTGAAAAATGCGAAAATATCGAATTGTCTAATGGAAATATATTCAAGAGCAATATTGTAGGTAGAACGAAATTATTAGGTGAAGATCCATCCATTTGTATGTTAGTATTCAAGATAAGTGAGGATGGTAGAGATGCATTCGATGAGAAAAAATACTCAAGTGTGAACATGTGGAGTCCATCAATAGGTAAATAGCCCACAACAAGACCAGATAACAAAACGAAGTTCAATACAAATGATATTGAAAAATCTAATAATGTTTATATAACTGCCGGAGAAAATAACTAGCTACTCATGTAGGATAATCTCTAATTATTTCAATACCATATTCATATTCCATTGATTCACTTAATTCATTTCCTACTTAAAGATGCTCGTCAAAACAAACTAACGAGGAAAGTCTCTCGATTGTTTAATCTCGTTTGAATCGAGACTATGTGCATTATGTAGACTCAAATGATGCTCTGAATAACTTGAAAAGAGTCCATAACGTTAGTTTATTGCTGCAGAGATATTGCATTTTTACGTTATTAATTAAGTCCATGCCATTGTCGGCTCTCGCTTAGGAACATCAGAAAAAAAACTATTTTTTGTATTTTAAAATTGAAACTTTCCATAGAGTTAGGCCTTAACGATAGAAGTTGATTGTGAAAGTTTCATGTTTTTTTGGTTTACTTTTTTCCTG